CCTCCCCCGGAACCTCCTCTCCGGCCGCAGCGCGCCGGGGGAGTCATATGGGAGGTGCAGCTCGCTGACGGACGGCGGAGATAGCCAATAACAGGCGAGAAATAGCGGATCGTGGCTCGTCGCACCAATGAGAAGCAGAGAGAGGCGGGACTACAACCCGGAAGCGGGGAGCGGTGCAGGGGGCCCTTCCTGGCTGGTACCGGTGGGTGAGGGAGGTCGCAGCCATGTCGGAGCGGAAGGTGTTGAACGTGAGTTGGGGGGGGATCCCCCGGGTGGGGGATGCTGAGGAAGGGTCTGTGATCGCTGTGGGAGTCCCCAGGCCGGGCTGATTCCGGGGAGGGCTCCCTGATCGCTGAGCTTGGTCCCTAGGCCGGTGGTGCTGGGGAGTTCCCTGGGCGGTTGGGGGGGGCCTAAGGCTTAGGGGGGGGGTCCCAAGGCTTAGGGGGGGTCCCAAGGCTTAGGGGGGTCCCTGAGGGGACTCTCAGGCTGGTAGGGGGGCGGTTGGGGTGAGAATCCCCAGGCTGGCTCTCCTGGCAGCGCTTGGAGCGGGCTGCCAGGGGCTAAGAGGGTTAGGCCCTAAAATCATGCAAGGACTGGAGGGCCTGGGGGCAAGGATGGACAGACAGACAGACAGACAGCCACGCAGCAGGGCCTGGCTCTGGTGGGGAATGGTGGATGGGTTTTTGGCACCTGGAGACCAGCCCTGATTGATAGGGGCACGCTGGCTCCTGCTGTGTGATCAGGGAGCTGATCCCTGAGGCTGGTACGGCAGCTGGGAGCCTGCCCCTCACAGTTCACACTGCTCTGGGGGACTGTGCCCAGCACACACACGTCTCTGCTCTGTCTCTGTAGAAATACTACCCGCCGGACTTCGATCCTGCTAAGATCCCAAAGCTCAAACTCCCCAAGGACCGACAGTATGTGGTGCGGCTCATGGCCCCCTTCAACATGCGGTAAGAGGGGCTGGGCTGGTCAGAAGGAAGCAGCAGTAGAAGAGAGGAGTTTATTTAGGGATTGTTTCACCTCCTTACACTGCAGGGGAGCTGCTGTGACACAGACAGATGTGACACAGAGCAGAAGAAAAGGGGTGAGGGAAGAGATGTTGCGAGTGATTTTGGGGTACTGCATTTCCAAAGGAGAAAATAACCACCACTGAGAACCTGGACTGAAACAGCCTGAAAATCATTTGGATGTTTCTTGGTCTGTTTGTTCCCTTTTTTTTGATGTGTTATGGACTTTTCTGTCTCCTTTTCTAGATGCAAGACGTGTGGTGAGTACATCTATAAGGGGAAGAAGTTTAACGCCCGTAAGGAGACTGTTCAGAATGAGGTGTACCTGGGGCTTCCCATCTTCCGCTTCTACATCAAGTGCACGCGTTGCCTGGCAGAGATCACTTTCAAGGTGAAATATATTCTGTGTTTTCTGCGCTCTCGCTTTCTGGGGAGGCAGTGGAGTCTGTGGAGGAGGCTGGGTGCTGACTCCATGGAGAAAGGGTGTCCCAGCAAAGACCTGGCCTGAGTGTGTGCTTCCCTTTTCGTTGCCATTTGTAGTTCTGAAATGTCTCGCTCATCCAGCACATCAGCTGGAGCAAAACCAAAAAAGGCTTTGGGGGTGATTGTCTGCTCTGGGATGTGGATGAACTCAGGAAACTCTTGCGTGCAGCTCTGGAAGTGGCCACAGGATGGCTGGAGCAGAATTGTCCCAGTACAATGATTTTGTTGTCTTGTTTCTCCCTTAGACAGATCCCGAGAACACAGACTACACCATGGAGCACGGTGCCACTCGCAATTTCCAAGCTGAGAAGCTCTTGGAAGAAGAGGAGAAGAGAATGCAGAAGGAGAGGGAAGAAGAAGAGCTCAACAATCCCATGAAGGTACAAGAACGTGCCCTTCTGTGCAGGAGGGAAACCTCTCTCCTGTCCTGGCTGGCTTTCCACAGCAAAGCAGTGATTTTGTAGCCGTTGGCTTAGTTCTCTGGGGTCCTGAGGTATCGCTGGGCTCTGAGCAAGCAGGAGCTAACTCTCTGTCCTCAGGAGGTTTCCTCCTGTGCTGGAACTTGTGACAGGCTGCATCTCACTCCAGTTTTTCCTCCAGTTGATCCTCTTAGTGCTTCATGCCCCATACTGGGGTAGAGGCAGTGGTGGAGGTTGCTGGCAGGCTCTGCTACCTCTCTTAAGCCTGACTTCCCTCTGGTCACCCAGGTCTTGGAGAACCGAACCAAGGATTCCAAGCTGGAGATGGAAGTTCTGGAGAACCTGCAGGAGCTGAAGGAACTCAACCAGCGGCAGGCAAACGTGGACTTTGAGGCCATGCTGAAGCAATACAAGGAGTACGAGGAGGAGCAGAAGCGCAAGGAACAAGAGGAGGATGAGCAAGAGATTAAGTGAGTGGGTTGGAAGCACTCACAGGCGTGTGAAATTGGCTGTGCTGGCCCTGGCCAGGCAGGGCTACATCTTCCCCTTCCCTCAGCACCCCAAAAGCTCTTCAGAGACGGCCCTGCCAGAGTTCTCAGGAGTTGGGTAGGTGGGACATAGTCCTGAGCAGGCTGTGAGGAGACTGGGGACAGTTTATCATGGTAAAGTGTTTGGAGAGGTCCAGAGCATCTCTCTGATGAGGAAAGGCTGAGGGACTTGGGTCTTTTTAGTCTGGAAAAGAGAAAACTGAGGGGGGATCTGATCAACACCTATAAATACTGAAAGGGTGGGTGTCAGGAGGATGGGGCCAGTCTTCTCTCAGTGGTGCCCAGGGACAGGACAAGAGAGAAAGGGCACAAACTTGACCATAAGAAGTTCCACCTAAACATGAGGAGGAACTTCTTTCCTGTGAGGGTGGCAGAGCCCTGGAAGAGGCTGCCCAGAGAGGTGGAGGAGTCTCCTTCTCTGGAGACATTCAAACCCACCTGGACACGTTCCTGTGGGACCTGCTCTGGGTGACCCTGCTGTGGCAGGGGGTTGGAGGAGATGATCTCCAAAGGTCCCTTCCAACCCCGTATCATTCTGTGATTCTGTGAGGTGGAGGGGTTTTGGTTTCACTGCTGGGGAGACCTGGGTTGCTGCAGGGGCCTGACTCCCCGTGGGAAGTGTCCTCGTGTGGAGAGTTTCTGCAGCTCTCAGTGCTCTCGACCTTTGAGCACTGCTCGAAGGTGACATCTTAAAGACCACCTGAGAAGGTGGATCCCGTTGCTCTGCTGCTGAATTCCAGCTCCCCTTCTGGCAGACGGCGCGGTGCGGGGCCGGCACCGCTCGGGGTGGCGGTGGAATGGAGCCATCTCTAACCCTCCTCACGCCACCTCTTTCAGCCTGGAGAAGAGGAGGCTGAGGGGAGACCTCCTTGCTCTCTCCAACTCCCTGAAAGGAGGGTGTAGAGAGATGGGGGTCGGTCTCTTTTCTCAAGTCACAGGCGACAGGACAAGAGGAAATGGCCTCAAGTTGCGCCAGGGGAGGTTCAGGCTGGATATTGGGAAAAATTTT